TTCACTTTGGCAACCGTCAGCTACCTTGTCATGCCAATAAAATTATTGCCATTGATTGGGGAGAGGCGCAGACGCATGCTCCAAGGAGCAGATCTCCCTCCCGGGGCTGGGCGCAGGCGCCCGCGGGGGCTGTGTGCGTGTGGGGAGGGGGCGAGGGGTCCCCAGGGGATGGGATGGGATGGGGACGGAGCGGGAGAGGGCACAGAGAAGAGGCAGGAGGAACAAAAGGCCCTTGTGCCGGGCGGCCAGCTGGAGAAAGGCAACCACATGGGCAGGAGAGGATTTCCAGGGGCTGCGCCGGGGTTGATGCTCGGGGAGTCCTCAAGGGTCACTGGCTGACACCGCCAGGGCAGGCTTCATGCCCCAAATCTACCCCCTCCCCAAAAAAGCCCACCGAGACGCAGGCAGTAAGTAGGGAAGCCGGCAGCAGGGTCACGAGGGAGGGCCGAGCCCTCCCGCGCACTCCAGGAGCCGGATTTCACGCGCCGAGACACAAAGGGCCCCTTTTTAGCCGGAGCCGCTTACCCTGAGCACTAAGCAGAGGGACCCACGGGGATGGGGACCGGCAGAGTGGGCAGGGAGCCTGACGGCTTCTCCTTCCAGCTCACGTGGACCACGATCAGGTCATGCATCATACCCAAGAGGCCAACACATGGGGGCTCTCATGATGGGAACAGAGGCAGCAGGCAACAGGGAAATTCCTGAAAAGCTCCCAGTCAGCAGCTCCCCCTCCCCACAGCACCTATTTTTGGGTCATACTGCCCAGACACACCAAGGGTTGTGAACGCACTGAAGCATCCTTCTCCAAAGCTTTAAGAGAACCCTACTCAAAGGAGGTGCCTCCATGGGCTGCCAAATCCGGTTCCCCGAAGCACCCCCATCTCCCTGCTCTCAGCAGGACAGGGGGCTGCAGGGGACCCCCTCAACCCTCCCCAGGATAGGAGAGGAGCAGCACGTCCCATTGTGTAGGGATGGGGATGACCCACTTAGCATGAAGAGTTTATTTATTATTATTATTAAAGTGGAGAAGCCAAAGAAGCCAGATGCGGGGCCAGTTCAGCTTTCCACGGGAGAGAATAAACAAGCTGCAGCAAGCGCGAGCCCCGGGGGGGAGCAGATTCCCGACGGAAACATGTCCTGATGCGTTCACGCCTGAGGCCAGCCGGTTTCAGGATGGGGCAGGGAGCTGCAGGGATTGCGGTGGTGACTGGGCAATCCTCAAAAAAATGAGAGCTCGGCTGGCTGCAAGGGATGTGTAGTCTGATGTTATCCTGGCTGGGATGCACTGGCTGCACGGTCCCACAACCATGCCCACTTTAGGGATCGCCAGCGCCTGGATCCCAGGTAGTGCTGGATATCTCCTGCAGGGCTGTGGCAGCAGGGACAGCTCGCAGCCTCCTTGCTCTGCAGCAGCTGGGGGACAGCAGTGGGCAAGGAGCCATCAGCTGCTTTGAGGCAGGAGCTCAGTTCACCCCCCCCAAAAATAACCAGGCGGCACCCAAAACTGGGTCAGCCCACGAGGGCCACTCCAGAGCTCAGGGGAGCCCTAAGGCGGTGCCTTGTTTGCATAACGAGGAGCAGATGGCAAGCTAAGGAGGGCAGCCTGGTCTCTGCGCTGCACCTCCCAGGATGCCCCACTGCCCTGGCTTCGAGCAGCCAGCCCAGCACAGTGTAGTTACTGGGATGGGGTTGCACCACCAGCAGACCCCCTCCAGCATCGTCCTTCTTCCCTCTACTCCATACGACACACTTCAAGCACAACCAAGATCAAGTCCCTGGCATACGCAGGTTAAGAGGTGACTACGGGTGCAGTGTCACACGTGCCTTTCCAGCATGTGACTGAGCACTCCCATCGCAATTACACACGCAGCTTTCCGTCCACCCAAAAAAAAAAAGACAGACAACCTGGGAAAATGACAACCGCCCAATAAAAAGATTGTCCAGCAAGGGCAGGTGGTTTCCAAGAAAAACCCAAGCATTAGAAAACAAGCCTCCCTTCCTTGTGCAAATATCCCCTGGACCTCCCTCCTCCAGCACGCTCATGGGTCACATCCCCCTGTCACTTCCCCATCCGCAGCACCCTCAGACTGCAGAGTGCGAGGCCGGGTCCCCAGCGCACCGGCTCAGGACCGTGGAGGAAGCGGCTCACCACCAGCCCCGGCAGCATGAGCAGTCATCCCTGCATTGCTCACCCGGGGAAGCGGCAGGAATTCCCCAAGCTCCCCAATCCCATGACTGCTGGCATGGAGGTCAGCGAGCACGCGGGGCCGAGGGCTTTCCAAGCCTGGCCTCTCCACGTAATTCAGGGCCAGCCAAAGATAACCGCCTGCCTGCTAACCCTGCAGGAGCAAGCTGAGAGGGGGCTGCCATGGGCTTCGCTGCTGTGACCCGCTCAGCATCCCAGGGGTCTTGTATCTCCATCGCCTCCAGTGCCTCCCCATCCCAGCCTGCAGCCGGTTTTGCAAATCTGACATTGCTTGCAATATCCTTCCACCACCACCCCCCCCCCCGAAATTAGGGTCTCCCTGCAGCTGTGGCGGCAGCAGGTGCTGCCCAGCACCCCGGCCTCGCGGCAGCAACTGTTGGCAGCAGGGCTGGGGAGAGGCTGCAGGGCAGCCAGAGGCTCGCGTGGCTTTTTTGGGGGGGACAAAGGAAGGCTCTGTCTGCACGCAACAGCCTGGACAAATGCTGGGCACGGGAGCTGCCATCCAAGGAAAATCCAGACGCAGCAGTCACTCTGCCCTGACCTTACCCTGGCCCAGATGGTGAGATTGGTGCTCCTTCAGCAGAGCAGCATCCATTACAGGGCTCCTGGGGATGAGGAGGGGAGCACCCAGCTGTGGGTGCAGCCCTCTCTCCCCAAAGGAGATGCCAGGGGGTGCTGGCAAGGGCAGGGGGGACCGGCAGGAGGGCAGAGAAGCCACCAGGCTGTGCCAAGCCTAACACAGGTGCTTGCCAAGGGGATGGTGAGAAACGCCGGCGCCTTAAAAGCAAATGGATCGCAACCGCTGCCGAGGGATGCACCTCTCCTACACCCTCTGCCTGGGGGAGCCACCTTGGGCCACGCTTGGCCATACCCCTGCCAGGCGTCCCATCCCCTGGCTGGGGACATGTCAGCACCGCTCAGGGACACGTCAGCAGCCCCCCTCTCGCACTCCCCAGGCAGGGGGGAGCTCTCCCCTCCCTCCAGCCCTGCCGGCAGCCAGGCAGCAGGATCAGGTAGCTGCTGAGGCAGCGTTTTGCCAGGCTGGCCGGGCAGGGGCTGCGGCAGAAAGGCTGGGCTGCCCACCCCAAGGTCACAGCAGGGGATGAGCAGGGGGGACCTGGCAGCACAGGGCTCGGAGCCTGCAAAGTGCTCCCGCACTGCCATCGGGGAGCTCTGTGACCCCACGGGTTTTGGGGGCTTCAAGCAGGACGAGCCTACAAAAGCTGCCCGGCATCCCAGTGCTGGGACAGGACTGAGACCCACCTCTTCGTTCCCCATGGAGCTCCTGCTCCATGTCCTTGTGCCCTACAGGGCCAGAGAGCCAGACCAGCTCTTTGGGGCACCGAGTTTAGAAACCAGCAAAAAAAGAGATGGGGAAAGCCCTGCAGGAGAGGAGGATGCTCAATCCACACCTGGGCTCCAAGTCCTGGCCCCAGCCATGACTTTGTAGGATGCAGCCTGCACCCCAGCCAGGCACCCACCCTAGGTCACCACTTGCAAGTGGCTCTGAAGGTGCAAAGACCAGAGAAAAACTGAAAAAAGCAGAGAGAAGAAAAAACTAATCTGCTGTGTAAAAAGCAACTGTCAGCCTCTCTCGATAAATAAGGAACTAGAGGTGTAACACTGTCCCTGTGGCTTTGTGAACCCTCCTCCCACACGTTCCTTCCTTCCCATACCCATTTAAAAACTCCCATCTGGAGCCCAGCAGCAGGAGGAGCCGCCAGCAACGCGACACCAGTCCCTCCGGATCCCTCATCGATCCGGAAGGGAGGACGAGCTGCCTCCGTCAGCTCCCCGCAGCCCTGCTCAGCCCTGGCGCCGCCATGCCCCCACCGAGGACCGCAGAAAGCCAGGCAGAGGATGTGGGGCTGGAGAGGACCACCGGCATCCTGCCCCCCACCCCAACACATGCTGCCCACGTCCCCCCTGCCCCTAAACATGCTGCTAATAGGCAGGGCCACAGGCAGGTCAGGGGTCCAGGGGGAACATGGGCAGGGCGAGCAGGACATATGGGGACTGTTGCCTGCAATGGCATTCTGCTCCTGCCTCCTCCAGGGCACCCTGACCAGCACAGATCAGAAGCAGCGACAAAAACGCAGGGTGCTGGAGCACCTCGCAAGCCACAGAGCAACGGGCCGGACCCCCCAGCCAAGCCCTGGCCCTCCTGCCCCTGGCAGGGCCCATACCAAGACCTTCGCACTGCCTTTCCCTGGCTGAGGATGCAGTTAATGCAAGCTGTGTTTATACAGGGCATGTAGAGCTGTAATTATAGGCACGATGTTATGATAACAGGAAATCCGTGCCCTGTGGAGATGCAGGCAGAGAAAGGCACACACGGAGCTATTTGCAAACTGCCACCAACAAGCAGCCTTTTGTGCCGTGGCGGGGTATGGGGAGAAAAGTCTCCCCGGCGCCGGGCTGGAGCCATCAGCACCCACCTCCGCCCACTCTGCCCAGGTCAATGGCAAAGCCATACAGACCCGGACAGACAGAGCCTGCCCTGTGGCAGCTACAGGGCAAACCCAACCGCCCTGAGACACAACGAGATGGGGTCTCATCCACCAGCAGCCAGGACTCAACTTCCCTAGGTTATAACCCTTCCAAAAGACAGAGGTTTTCTAAATTTTGTGGGCAGAGAGGAGCAAGGGGAAATTGCCCCTCACTGGCCCTTTGCATGTTACCCCCAATATATCAAGTCATGCTACAGTGGAGGCAGAGCCCTACCTGCACCCCCAAAGGGCCAGTGAGGTGAGCGGCCATCCCTCCCCATCAGCATCAGTGAGGGCTTTCCTACCTTTTTGATCTTCCCGCTCCGCGTGCCCGCAAAGACGACGGTTTGTCCTCTGTAGTCGTAGGCAGCCACCGAGGTCATCCCATCCTCCTTATCCACAAAGAGCGGGGTCCCCTCAATGGTGACGGTCCCACCCAGCGGCTGGTTAAAATCCTGACCACAGAAATTGTCGTCGATCTGCAGTGGCTGTCAGAAGAAAAAAGAGGAGAGATGAGCTTTTTGTCAATGCCTTGACATGCCGGACCTCCCAGATGGCCATCAGCCATCTCCCACCTCCACCCCATCAGCTATAGCACCTTTGGCAGCCCCCTCCCTTGCCCCTCCTGTCCCAGTCATTCCACCTCACCAGCCAAGGGAAAGGATGAGCCAACACTTCCCTAAAATTCCCTACGCGCTGATGTAAGGCACTTGGGACACATCCAAGGCATGCAGCCCCTCTCTGCATCTGAACAAGCTTTGCAGACCAAAACCAAGGCTCTCAGTCCTCTGTATCTTACAGAGCAGCACTTAGAAACCCAGCAGGAGCCAGCGCAGCATCCCTGCTCCCTCCATCCCTGCTGCTACCATCGCAGACATGTGGGATGCTGGCACGAGCTCCCCAGCACACACACACCCCTCTCCTCCTCACCCCGGCACTAGCTTCAAAAAGAAAACGGCTTGGCAGGAAGGCAGGAGGGGCTGAATCCTGCACCCCAGTCTTCCCCCAGAGACAAAACATTTCCCAGCCAAGGCCGTGCCAAGACAAACGGGTCAGGGCTCCTGACAGAGCCTCATTTCACATAGCAGAGCCTCCAGCAAACACGCTACCCACCTGCCAGCCCTGTTCCTCCTCCCGCAGGAACGTCTTCGGGAAATCCCCGCATTTTTTTCATGCTGCCTTGCCCCAGACGAGGCGCCTGGCTCAGCCAGCTGCCTCCTCTGTTCAGCGCTCGCCCACGGGTCTGGGAGAAGCTTTTGCAAGCTCTGCCTGGGCAGAGGCAGAGGCAGGGCTGCACCGGCCTCAGGGCTGCGACGGCAGGGACCTGCGGCGAGGACAAGGCAAAGCCAGAGGGATGCCGCCTCTGAAAGCTGGGATGCAGGCGGGGGAGCGGGACCACGACCAGCCCCACAGCGCTCGCCCCCTCCATCGAGCATCCTTGCCACGTCACCCTGACCTGCTGCTGAGCAGAACAGACCCTGGCCACGGGTATCCATCTGGCCTGGGGGGCACATGGGTCTCCCGGAGGTCCCATGCTAGGCAATGGCCTCACGTGGTAGCACAGCACCAGCAAAATCCATCCCCAGCAGCCCCCGGCCTGTCCCAGGCAGCGAGGGGCTCTGGCCAAATCCCCAAGGGTGGCAGCGAGCCTGGGTGCAGGAGGTTAGGGCGGCAAGGTAGGCATGGCCAACGGGGAGACAGCCTGCTCCAGCCACGGGATTTTTCTGCTTCACAAGGTTCCTTATGTAACTTTGAATTTAAAGGGGAGAGAGGTTTTTTTGGCAAGCAGCAGCCTCCAAATGCATGCCAGTCCCCAAGGGGTTTTAAATCCATACAGCATGTGCACAGAGCATATGGGAAAACGCCGAGCTCCCGAGCTCCACGTACACAAGGGCAGTATATAGCTCCGTGATTCCCACTCGCCACTGCCTAGGAAGCAAGGGTCAGCCCAGACCAGCTCCTACCAGCAACCCGCAGTCACCCACGGGGAGGAGGGAAAACACGGCACTCTTCCATGCCCCCGTGCAATGCACTCGCAGCCACAACAGCGTCAGGGTCCTGCAGCCACGGCGAGGCTGCTCGCCCTCCTCGCTGTGCCGCCACGCCAGCCCCGAGGCCAGCGGCCCCACTCCTGCTTGCAGTGGGGACTCGGGGCCGTGCCAGCCTTCCAGTGTGGGAGGACTGGGAATGATGCCAGCCAGTCACGTTTGGCCTCCCCGGGCGATCTGGGGATGCTGGGCTGCTTCCTCAGTTACTTTAACTTCTGTTTTTGCTGGGTGCCTGAGTTAGCATATAGCCAAAGACTGACTCCCTTCCCCGCTTGACCTTTGCACATCCTTCCTTAAACTGGGGGAACTCCTACAGCCAGGCGTGAGAGATGCGGGGATCCCCAAAACAGGAATGGGGGGCACCACACGCCTCTGCAAGCACAGGAAAAGGGGGAAAGGAGAATTAGGACCTCTCCACCCATCCTCTGAATCCCAGCCTTGCAAGTGCCCTCTCCTATCCATCAGCCACCACACGCACTAAGCATCCTCCTCTGCATCACCAGGCTAGACATTTTAAAACAGCAGATTTGAGAAAATTATTTTCCCAACCATGGAGCGAGACGAGAGTGATGCTCCAGTCGATACCCAGCTCACATCTGGATAGCTGGGATCCTTCAGGCGCTTTGCGTAGAAAAAAACGCTCTCTGGCCCCAACAGCCCTTCTGCCCCAGTAAAGCACCCCAGCACCTTCCACTCAGCTGCCAGCAGTAGCACAGGAGTTAAGGGCAACGCCATGAAGGTATTTAAGCCCCGGCAGCCCCTGGGTGCAGTTTGTGCTCTCTCCACACTCAGTCTGCAGCTTCTCCAACCCCTCGGCTGCTGAATATGCAAGAGGAGAGATGTTTACGGTGTTTACTCCTCTCTGCTTTGTCTCAACAAACTCTCTGGGAAACGACAAATACAGCTGCGCTCTGGGACCGCGAGGAGCGCCCGCTGCCGCCGCCACGATGCCGACACCACCTCGATAAATAATTACGCCGACAATTAGCTCATTAACAGCAAACTGCCTCGTTTAGGGAAGCGCAGGCAGGCAGCACGGCGAGGTTGGGCCAAGGGCGGCAGTACGGGGCTTACGGCACCAACTGACATCCCTGGCGGATGCAGGCTGCGGGGATAGGCGAGACGGAGGGATGAAGGGACGGAAGGACAGAAGGACAGAAGGACAGCTGTCCCCTGGCTGGTGCCGGCAGGGACCGACACGCACCACAGCATGCGAGGGCTGGTGACCTTGCAGCGTTTCAGCTTGCGGATGCTGGGATCTGCAGGAGGCATCAAGCTCTGCCCGCTCTCCCATTTGCACGGGTGTTTGCAGGGACCGTGGCCTCAGCCCATTGCAGGGGGAGGGCTGTTTCGTTGGGGGGGGGAGGTTTTGTGGGTTTTTTAAAATTTTTTTTCTTTTGTTTTTATTTCGGTGCTTTCCTTTGGCACCCTCTTGGTTGCCCCTGGCCCTCAGACACCCCAGGCCCCCACCTCCTCAGTGTGGCAGCCTTCTCCTCTCTCCTGGCACTAACCCGCCTCCCCAAAATAGGGTCAGGAAACTCGGATTTCCCAGGAGAAGCAGCCTGCAGGAGGGGGAAAAGTGGGCCCGCAGCACTGACCAAGCAGGAGCTGGCATCTCCTTGACATGCCTTGTCTCATTGCCTCCCTTCAAGCCCACTTACCAAAGCAATGAGGGAGCAGACAGCAGAGGTGAGGCTCGCACCACTCAGCATTATTAATTAGCCAGTAATTCACCAGTTAACATCGTTACAGGCTCACCCCATCCCCCTGCGCCCGACCAAAGGCTTCGATAGTGGATGAGGGGGGACACGAAGAGCCAGGGAGGAGGTTGCAGGAGGCAGGTACCAAGTGCCAGGCTGGGATGACATGCTTTTTGCACGTTAACCACTGCCCAAGAATAATCCCGGTGTGGTACAGTTCGTTAACACCTGCATTTCTCTGGCTACCCCCGGGAAGGATTTGGCTTATCCTAGCCCACTTTGGTTCACTTGCTGCCCTTTTCCAGCCCTGCCACATCAGACCCTCGTCTGCCCGTTTTGGGGACGGGCATGTCTGGCCATGGGCATGCAGACCTCCAGTCCCTGCACCGGACAGGGGCAACAGCCGGGCTACACAACACTGAACCCCTCTTCAGTGAAACACCACAAGCAGCAAAAACTCTGGATGGGCTCAGGAGCGATTTAGGCAGGGGGGCTGGAGCAGGGGAATGGACCGGACGGTCCTGCAGGGTGCCTTTGCTGTGTCCATGCTCAGGTCTGAATGCCCCAGCAGGAGGGGTCTCGCTTCCGAGCCAGCTCCATTCCTCCTCCCACTGCTGGATCACTGGATCCCAGAAGGGGAGAGAGAGATACAGGAGACAGGAATTCACTCCACTCGCCAGCGCCGGGGAGGAACCACTAACATCTCCTGAGCTGGCTGCCGAGCCTGGTGGCCTCTTCTCCTGGTTCCAGCACCTGCTCAAGAGAATTGGAGCTACCCTGCAGCACTGGGGGATGAGCATCCCTTATCCCCACATGGCTCAGGGTCTGGGACTGGGGTGCCAGCAAAGCCTTCTCCAGCATGGACCAGCCTCAGCCCCTTGCCATCACAAAGGAGCAGAGCAAGAGAGCTCCTGGGACATTTTCCATACAGATGGGGTGTAAATCCCAAGCAACTACTGACTTGAGCAATTACATTCTGCCTCCTTAAAAATAAACCCAACATACCCTTTATTTTCTGGCCAGCCCTCACCACTGAGAGATCCATCACTGCCACAACCTACCCCAGAGGTGGCTGCATTTTATTAGGGGCACAGAAATTCCTGCCAGAAAGATGTTACGTGCTCCACAGGGGCTGGTTTGGCTTGCACTCAGCACAGCAAGGGGCTGAGGGCTTGACTCATGATCCAGTCGTGCCTTTCCCAGCTCTGCTTGGCAGCTGGAGCAGGACAGGGACAGAAAACACCACCTGGCCCCCCTGGGGGTGGGCAGCAGCCCCCAACCCATTCGAAAGCAGGAGCCACCCCATCGTGGCACACGTCCTTCCACCGTGCAAGAGTCACGTCTGCAGGACTCAGAGTACCTTGAGATCCACCTACTCGCACAGGCTGGCCACCAGGCAGCAATCCCAGGACCCTCCTACCAGGAAACCACCCCCAAAGTGCAGGGGGGGCAGAGCCCCCTCCCCAAACCCAGGGGGCACGGCACTCCATGGGGTACCGGGAGAGGCAAGCCGGGAGTGTGGGAGGAAGCGGCGAGCATCTCCTTCGCCGGAGTCAGCAGCTGCGCGACCCAACAGGCAGCAGTGTAACGATTTCATCATTTTCCAGCAAAATTGAATTAGTTCAAAGCCAAAATCCGATTTGCGAGCCCAGCGCTCTTGACAGCAAACCCTTTACTTTGTCAGGCAGCTGTTAGCTGTCTCCTCCAGAGCTGCAGGGAGCAGGGCGGGAGGGAAGGCAGGGCTGCTCCGCAGGGACACCCCTACCCACCTGCCTGCATCACTGGGCACCCAAAACCCTGCTCAGGCAGGGCTGGAGGCTTGGTGATGGGTGCTGAGCACCAGCAAGTGGGGCTGGGAGTAGGTGGGCGACAGCAGGGGTGTCGGGACCTCCACCAGACCCTCCCAAACACACACACCAGCACTCCAAAACCCCTGTCTGCCAAATATCTGACCCTGCCTGGGGACTACCCAGCCTAGCTTGGTGATGTCCAGCGTAAGACATCCCCACCACCCAGAGCCGTAGCCTCCCTGTGACCGCTCGTGGTTTATAATGTTGCCTGGAAAAAAAATCCAGCAATAGTAATAGTTCAGCTGGAAAACAAACCCAGAAGGCCAAGTGGGAAGGTCCCCTGCTCCTCACTGCTCATAGGCCCCACACAGAGCAGCTGAGCCACAAGCAGGGGCCAGACGGACCCAGGCAAGCACCAGGCAGGAGTACACATCTCTGGGGACAGAGGGGAGCGCTCCCTTGGTTGGGAATCCCTGCTCTGGGATGCCAGCACCCGCCTCCTGCACCTCTGGACAACAGTTTGCGCTGGCCACGCTCAAAATCCACCTCGCTGACGATGCCTTGTGCCCTCTGTCCTCTTCTCCAGCACCCCACGGAGAGGACATGGTCCCTTCACACTGAGCATCTGACCAACTTCTACCAGGACCGCCAACCCCCCTGCCTCCCTCCGTTAGGTCTGCGCTCCCCGTCCCCCACATCCTACTGCCCCCAACTCCTTCTGCTCGGCCACCACCAAGCCCCAGGTGACACAATGCTCAAAAATTCACACGTGCCATCTGCAAGGGATTTCCCAGCAGAGCGGCAGTGGATGCCCTGAGTACTGAGCATCCTGCCCTCCCAGCCCAACTCACCGACACTCCCCAAATCCACAGGGCAGGGGCACCAGAAGCAGGCACCTGCATCAGCATGGGGCCCCTCGCTTGGGGCTCTCTGCGGGCACCAATGCAACCCAAACCCAGATGGCTGCCCCACAATGAAGCCATGATCTCTGCAAGGAATGCTCCTGAGCAAGCCAAGCACCCGGCCCTAACAGGGCCAGTCCTCCCACTGGGAAAAGATGGCTCAGGTCAAGTCACTTGGAAGGGTCTGGCCAGAGAGCACCGCCAGGAGCCAGAAACAACCTGGCTTGGGTAGAGACAAGCGGGAACTTACCGAGTTGATGCAGCCCAGCTCCTTATTCAAGAGCCAGGGCAGCGAGAGTTTCCCTTCCCCTCTGTAGCACGACTGGATACGTTCCTTGATCTTATCCTTGATCTTCTTCAACGTGAAGAGGCAGAGCACAGACTCCTTGGGAGGTTTAACCCTGTTTTTCTGGCCCTGGGAGAAGATGGTGAAGAGGATATCCTCCCGCTCCGAGATGCCCAGGTACTTGGCCAAAGCCTTGCCAGGCTTGGTCAGGTAGGCGTCCTGGATCAGGCGGTACTCGATGCCGTCCTGCACGCAGCCGATGGGGAACTCCACGTAGGAGTAGAACTTGGGGTCGTCCACACAGAGGCGGACGATCTTGGAGGTGAAAAACTGCTCCCCGGTGGAGTCAGGCGAGGTGAGCTGGGTGTCCAGCTGCAGGGTCAGGTAGTAAACAAACTGCTCGCTGCTGAAGCTGTAGATGTAGTAGATGTCAAAGGTGGGGAACTTGGACAGCGTATCCGAGGGTATCTTGAGCTGGGAGGAGACAAACTCGTCCTGGTAGACAAAGCCAAACATCTCCGCGTTCTCCTCGTTGGCCATCAGCTTGCGGCTGGAGAGGGTGGGGAAGTACTCTGACTTCCCGTCAATGGGCGTCCCAATGAAGAGCTTGTTCTGCCCATTCAGCACCTCGATGATGACCCCAGACATGGTGCCCGACTCGTTGACGCTGGAGAGGTAGTGCTCCTTGCGGTGGTGGGGCTCACCCAACTTGAAGAGGTCATCCAGCCGCAGGAACTGGCAAATACCCTGGGAGGCACTGCCACAGGCAATCAGCCGGTTCCCCGAGTAGTCCACCAGCAGCAGTTTGTTCACGTTGTTGGTGGTGACCAGCCCGTGTGGGCAGGACTGAACGCTGGGCGGAGGGTAACACTTCTCATTGTCCTCCACGGGCCCCGTCACGTGGGTCCGCAGGAGCGTGAGGTTATTGGAGAGCTTGTAGATCCGATTGACAGCCCCCACGTAGACCTCCCCGGTTTTGTTGTGGACCACCAAGTGCGTCAAGCTCCAGTCTGTAACCGGGAAAGTCCTAAAGGGAGACTTGGGGCTGCCTTCCGCCAGCGGTAGCCAGGTGCTCCCCAAGAGCAGCAAGGTCCAAACGTTGATGGACAAGTGGTGCTTGAGCCAAAGGAGCCACATTGCAGCAGCCTCACATCCAGCCAAGGCCATGCCCAAACCCAGCCACAAAATAAATAGAAACAAACCCAAACTAAAGGGATGAGGGAGAGAGGAGGAGCTAACGGGACACAGTCTCCTCTGCTTCCAGTGCGCTTGGCATTCAGGGCATCATGGGCACAGCCAGTCTGGTCAGCCCTAGAGGGAGAAAGACAAGAACAGCAGGGTTAGGAGGCTTTCCTGCACAGTATCAAGCCTGTTCCACCCCACCCAGCAGAGACTCTGCTGCTTCACACTTTTCTAGCGGGCAGCCTAACAAAACATCCCCCACCACCTCCCGCCCGGATGGAGACACGTCCCCGGTGCACGGACCAAGGGATCCTACAGGATGCTAAGGATAACCCCGCCTGGTCGCACACCGCTGCGCACAGCATGTCCCGACCAAGGAGCTGCCATGCACTTTGTCTCACCATCCCAGCCTCAGCCGCCAGCCCCACCGGCCAGCAGCCCTCTCCGAGGGGCATCACCCTGCCCTTGCCCCCACCCAAGCCCCCCCAGAAAGAGCAGCAGCCACCTGAGCGCGCCTGCAGCCGCTGGCTGGACCAGACTGGCACATCCCCACAGGCAGCAGCCTGGCGATGAGCTCCAGCACACCTACCACATACAAACGCCTCGGTGGGGCGTAGCTGACCCCGACCTGCTTTTAAGACCACCAGCAGCACCAAAGCATTAGCCTGGGATGGCTGCTAACAAACCTCAAGAGGAGGCACCTGGCCTGCTGCTCCCGCCCCACTCCACCACGGCACTGGGAGCGGATGCAAAAACCCAGTTTGCAGCAAGCACAGCCCAAGCCCCTACACAGAGGAGGATCTCAAAAGCACCTTTTAAAGGCGCTGAGAGAGCCGAGCCCTGGCATGCTACCTGCCATCCCTGCCACCTGCCTGCCTGACAAACCCCAGGAGAGCCACGGGCAGGAGGAGTTGCGGGGAGCAAGCGGGCACAGCAAGGAGAGGCACGTCCTTCTGGCATTTATCTGCGTTAATAAACGCAGGGGCAGCCATCACACGGTCAGTTTGAGAGGCTCCGGAGGGACGAGGGGGCACAGGCAGGGAGGATGGAGAGCTCTGCACACGGCCGTGCCATGGATGGGAGCAGCAAAGCAGCAGGGAGCCAGCCAAAAACCCCACACCAGTGTGACCTTTGCATCCCCGGCAGTGGGGAGGAGATGGCTGCAGGTAGCTGACAGAGACAGCTCTGCCCTCTGTGTCTGCTCAGCAGCCCCTCAGTTACACCCCCTCCCTGTCTTCTCCACCCCCCCCCCAGGCACAAGCACCCCTGGGGTAACGTGGGGTTGTGCAAACCCCTGCCAGCACACAGCCCGTCCCACTGACACCATCGCAATCCAACCACCCAGGGTGGGACCATTGCTCCCAAGGTCCGGGACCGGGACAGGAGCTCAGCCCTCAGTTCCCCACTCCAGCAGCTGCAGATGAGCCTCTCCCAAAGCCAGTGGAAGAGGAGAGCCTCCCTCTCCTTATCGCCCATCTCTGACTCAGCCCAGGATAACCTGCCGGAGGAGGATCCCCGCCAGGGAGTGGCAAAGGTAGGAAATATGGCCAGAGGTGACTGCGCGGCACTGCTGGCATCCCACACCGGGCAGGGTGTCATCAGAGAACAGCCGGCTGCGCACGCCATAACGGCAGGGCTGCGTGGGGCCGAATGGCTACCCCAGAGCTCGGCAGCCTGCTCTTAGCAGGGCTGTGGGACCCACCAGCCAAGCCCCATGCAAACCTTAGGGGGGCTGCGTTGTCAGTGGGCCAGCGGCTGGGCCATATGGGTACCCCAACATCCCACGGAGCATCCTTCAATTCTGCTGCCCCCTTCCCAAGCCACAGAGGCAGCCAAGGAGAGGTCTGAGGGAAGGGAGAGACTTTTTCCCCCTCTTGTCCCACTCCCAACAAACAAAAAACCCCTCTCTCCCTTCCCAGGGCAAGCCCAGCCCTGGCCATCCCTGCAGCCCTGCCAGCTCTGCTGGGCCCCCAGCACTTTGGGCAAAGCTTCCGCACCACTTCCAAACCCTCTCTGCAGATCCGCCATCTCCACCAGCTCTCCTCTGCCCACGTGCTCACCACCCTGCTCCCTTCTGCCCCCCAACACATCCACCTCCAAGCCAACAACCTCAAGGGAGATTTGGGCAACAGCGTACTAGCAATACTGAGACCAAAGCCAGGTGCCAGAAAGCTCCAGGAGTGTGGACACAACCAAACCATGAAGCCATCAGCCCTGGAAATCATCCCCACGGTCCTAATCCTCCATTCCTACCACCTTTTCCAACAGCCACGCTGCCCAGCATCTTCATTTTTACAAGTTTGTCAGCAAGACCATAACCACGAGCACCCCAGATCAGAGCTTATTAGCCCCAAACCACACCGATGCATGGGACCAAGCCGCGCTGTCAGCACAACAACCCCCCCGGTTAGCTCAGAATGCCACCAGCCCGGCAGTGGCAGGCAGTGCGGTTTCCTGGTGGGTTGCTGGAGGGAGGTTTCCCACCCCAAGAAACAGGCACGGCTCTCACCAAACTGCCGCAAACCACAGGGCTGACACCCTCCAGGAACAGTACGGCCAGCACCCTTGCAAGATCACCATTGACACGAAACTCACGTGCCAGCGACACGCCGCAGAGAGAAGGAGGAGCGGGGAAGGCAGAGGAGGTGAAAGCAGGAGCGTGGTGCAGCGTGGGGATGCCAGCCAGAGCATCGTCCTGCTGGGATGGGCGAGTGGGACAGGGAAGTCACTGTCTTGGTGCGTTTCTATGATTCATCGTTTCTATTTCGGGAAGCGGGCGGGAGAGCTGGAGGTCGGGCTGCTGCCACAAAGCAGGGCTAGAAGCCCCAACAGGAGATTCCCAAATGAACGTAGGGAACTGCTACTCAGGAGTTGGAGAAAAGCAAAGTGAGGCAGAGCTGGGGCGAGCAGAGATGACACTCTGCAGAGCTCCGCTGAGATTTCTGCTCCTAAATATACATTAGCAGCAACACCTCATCCTAGTGCCCTGACACCAGCGGGGGTTTTGTCCAGTCCTGCTTAAAACCATTAGCAGCAACTACTAAAAAAAAACAGCAGGAATGGTTAGTTTGCTTTCTTCGGGATTAAATGATCTGGGCGCCCGAGACTTGGACTGAATTAAAGTGGGGTCCAACACCACAGCGGTGGGGGCAGCAGGCAGTCCTGCACTGGAGCACAGGCGCTGCTCCGTGGGAGCAGCCAGGAAGGAACAGCGCGGGGCCAAAGGGCATTTCCCTCCCGTCACACTGCCTCCAACCCCCGCGGAGAGGTCATGGTTCGGCTAACGGCAGGGCAGCTCCTCCGCCAGCACCCGCTTTGAACCATGCAGCACCCAAACCCCTCAGGGCTGCACTCAAGCAGCCAGCCCAGGACCAACACACCAGTGCTGCCAGGAAGCGAGACCTGCACTGCGCGCACCGCCACCGCGGTCCAAAAGCATGGAAAACCAACCCTGAGCAGATACCCTGGAGCCGAGCCCAGCCCTGAAACAGGCTAAAATAAAATAATACACCCCAGCCTGGATGCGTGCGTGCCAAGTGGCAGAGCAGGACCAAAAATACACCCCGTTACGCTGCCTGGGCAGCAAGCGATGCAGCGCAGAGCATCCTGCAGCACAGAGCATCCCCACGCAGGGCTGGCTCACCCCACAGTGGGGCCATGCCACCAGCAAGACAGTACCGCAGGCTTGTGTTTTGTTTTCCACGCGCACACACATATATATACACACACACACACATACATAGCAGGAAACCTGCCATCAGAAACAAAGCTGGTGAAGCAATCGTGCAAGCACCAAACCCGCCCCAGTCCCTTTCATCCCACGCCAGAGAGGACATTTGCTCACTGGTTTCACCTCAAAAGTGGCCACGCCGAGATGGTCGCAACTGCTGCATGAGCTGGATGGGGATGCGCTCACGCACCCTGGCTTCAAAAGAGCCTTTTATCAAAAAGCCATTGACATGACCCACAAATGCCTGAGTCCCACTTGCTTGCTGTTAAAGAGGTGGCAAGGGGCCGCAGCATTCATCCCCCCGAGGCTGCAAGCTTGCTGGTCCCGCAGTGTGGACAGAAACCTGGGTTTGGAATGCGAGATCATGTTTTGGGAAAATAATCATCGCTTTTGATAGCAGAAAGCAGGAGTAGTGGGATGGAGAAACTAACCTTAAAAGGCAAAGACTGGACAGAGCATTAAGGACCAGCTCTCCACTCGTCCGGGCAGCAAGTCCAGAGCACTGACAGATGCCGAGTCAGCACCGGCAGCCAGGCTACAAAGCAGCAGCTCTCACGAAAACAGCCGAAGCCAGGGTTTAAAACATGCCAACAAGCACAGAGGTGCGCATCTGGCACCCCCAGATCCACTTGCCGTCCCCACTCCTGCATCACCAAGACCCCGGCGGGCTCACATCGCCGCTGGTGCTGTCTGCCACCATGCAACACCCAGGCATGACCCCCGCATGGTTACTGGGGTCCTAGGCAGGTCTGCACCCCCAGGGTTAGGGAAAGCACTGTTTGTCTTAGAGAAAAGCTGCTCTCAAGCAGTGGGATGAGGCTGCAAACTGCCCCAAGAGCTTTACAGCCTTGCACTTTGCAAGGGAGGCTATAAGAGTGAAGCAACGGGATTGAAAACCCCCATAAAACCAACCCCCAAAAGGGGAAATGGCATCTAATGGGTCTTTACCTGCAATCTCTCCAAGTCACTCGCTGCTCTCAGCAATAGGAAACTGTCCGAGAAGGGACTGGCTCCATTTTCAAACACACGAGCTGCTGAGCTGCCAGTAATTAGCAAAGGGGAGAGAGGGGAGATTATCCGGGGGAGAGAAAAGCCCGCAGGAGAGCCAGCCTTACCATACAGCTGGTGTATTTTTAGGTTCCTCTGCCTGGGAAAAGCCTTGCAACAATGAGGAAAGGCTGGTGGTGGTACCGAGTTAGAGCTGCAGTATGTATGCAATCCTCTGCAACAGG